TTAAATATTATGCCAACCAGAAGAGCTAGGTAAGAAACAAGAAATTCCCACATAGTTCTTAAAAATAGAAATCTTTTAAAAATATTATCAATGATTTTATAATACCTATATTTAGTAAAGGTAAGTGACATAGACATGTATATGTTGTGCTGGAGATGGCATAAACTGCTGTCACCTTTCAGAAAAGGCCATTTGATAATATACATCAAAAAACTCAACATGTTTGAACTTTTGATTCAGAAATTTAAATTTTAGGAATTTAGCGTAATGAAATGTATAAAGAAATACAGGATCAGCAGATAGTGTAATGGTTACATCTCTGGACTTCCATACGGCTGATTTCCTGGTTTAAGTCCAGGCGCAGTGGCTTGAAACTCGTGCCTGTCCTGTGTGGGTGTGTGCCCAAAATCATGAGAGGAGAATGGAGGAGAAAGGACTGTGGTGTGGTCATCCCCCATGGAGGGGTTATTTATCACTCTCTCTGCCCCTATCTCTGTCTCTCTGGCAGGCACATATGTCCTATAACAAAAACCTTTTAAAAAAAGAAGAAAAGGAAAGAAATGGACAAACATTTGTGTACAAAGGTATTTATCACATCATTATTTGTAATGTAGAAAAACTGGAGATGATCTAAATATACAACAACTGGAGATTGATTAATGAAATGATAGGCTATTCATACAATAGATTATCACATAGCCATCAAGAAATAACCCACTAGAAATTGGTATATGCAAGAGAAGAAAAAATGTTTACAGCTCTTATTGCTTAATGGTAGGTTTCCATATCACTTACTACTTTTTGTACTTTCCAAATTTCGTTCAGTGAACATGTTTTAAAAAGAACTTAAAATTCACTTGTTAGGGGCCAGCAGATGACATGGTGGTTAAAGTGCTGGACTCCCACATAGCCAATAGCAGTTCAAGTTCTGGACCAGGCAGCTTACTTTTTCACTTTCTCTCTCCCTCTGGTAAGCTCATATGCCCTATAGCCAATTAAAAAATAATGTTAATAAATCAAATTAAATAATTATTTAAAAGAAATTCATTTGCTAGTAGTATAGAGGAATGTTCCAAAAAATTTTAAAAATACGTGATTCAATATAAGTAACTTCAATATAAATCATCTCCCAAATGTTTGCATCTCTATTTGTATATATAAAACATGGAAAGAGCTGAAGGAGGTACAGTTGACCTTAGGTATTCATGAGGGGACTGGGGTATTGGTTCCAGCATTCCCACAAATATTCAAATCTGAAGATGCTCAAGGTCCTTATACAAAATGACCGTACTGTTTGTATATAGCCTACACACATCCTGAATACTTTAAATCATCAATAGCTTACTTATTATGTACAATACAATGTAAATGCTATGCAAATAGCTGTTTTGTTTATGGTTGTGTGTGTGTGTGTGTGTGTGTGTTTTTTTGTGTGTGTGTGTGTGTGTGTGTGTGTGTTTTAGTGTTGTATTGTTATTTTTATTGCATTTTCTCCCAGGTTTTTAGTCTGTGGTTAGTTGAATCTATGGATGCAGAAATGGAAAGTCAACTGTATGTCATTTAAGCTCCCCTTTCTTCCCAAATGAGATTTCTCCAAATAAGACAATCATACCATCATATTCTCAAATAACTAGGCACTTCTGTGTAATTTCTCTTGATAATTATAATTAGCTCCTTTGAAGTTTATATATCCTAGTCTATGTGTTTGATCTGCCTCTTTACTGTGCTGGTAGGGACACAGCTTCCAGTTTAAAATTCCACCAATATTCTCCCTTCACCACCACCACCCCTCCCCCCACACTCCTCCAGAGAGTATGAATAATGCTTTGCTTTTCAAAGACATCATTATTTAGAAGTAGTATATAAAACAGTTGCATAATGCAAGTTTTATCCATATGTATAAAATCACTGATAAAAAAGTTCTCACTGCAACAAATTTCATACATTGTCATGTAACCAACCACCACAATGTCGAGGTTATCCACAATCAAACACATTTCACAAAGGTCTACAGCCTGTTGAATCTCTGAAACTCCAGCAGCCTAGGTACCACCTCAGGAGCTGAGGCAGTTTATCTCTCTCTCTGGAGGGCAGTATCCCATCTTTGTGCAATGGAAGCCAGCCATCACATTCCCCAAGAGTTTCCCAAGAGAAAAGGAGTGGAAGAAAGGAAAACAGGTTGCCGAACCAACTTGGACACACTCGGCATAGACTAACCTTCCAAATTAAAGGGCGGGAGATCAACTGAGCCATCGAGTTCTAATGTGAATTACTCTAGGGCAAGCTTCCTGTAATACCGTGGTCACCACAAAAGGCCTTTAGGGCATCTGTGGTATGATCTCCATCTTTCTTTTTCTGTCCTCCTGCATTTCTTATTGCTTTTTTGGGGGTCATCTCCTTTCTCCATTTTGTGTATCCTTCGCCCAGCAGTAGCACTATGGCATTAACCATTGCCGACCCGTGAATTAAAGCAGCATTTGGTAGCCAGATCTCTCCTTGAACCAGTGAAAACATGTTTGTTTGCTTCCCTCAAAGTGTAAAATTTCTGCGTTGCCAAGTCATCTCAAAGTGCACGTAGCTAAAGGGAACGTACATGTAACAAGTGCAGAGGGGGTCAGGTGGAGGACCTGGCCACATCGCACCTGATTATACATTGCAGAGGGTGAAAAAACAGACAAGAGAAAACTAGGAGGTAAAATGAAGCCCTGAGCTAACTCGGTTGCGCAAGCGCGTCTTTCAGAGCATCTCCGGCGGCCGCACCACAGCGCCTGCGTACAGAATCCGGAGAGGGGCGGGCCCCGGGGCCAGGTTTTTAGTCTGTGGTTAGTTGAATCTATGGATGCAGAAATGGAAAGTCAACTGTATGTCATTTAAGCTCCCCTTTCTTCCCAAATGAGATTTCTCCAAATAAGACAATCATACCATCATATTCTCAAATAACTAGGCACTTCTGTGTAATTTCTCTTGATAATTATAATTAGCTCCTTTGAAGTTTATATATCCTAGTCTATGTGTTTGATCTGCCTCTTTACTGTGCTGGTAGGGACACAGCTTCCAGTTTAAAATTCCACCAATATTCTCCCTTCACCACCACCACCCCTCCCCCCACACTCCTCCAGAGAGTATGAATAATGCTTTGCTTTTCAAAGACATCATTATTTAGAAGTAGTATATAAAACAGTTGCATAATGCAAGTTTTATCCATATGTATAAAATCACTGATAAAAAAGTTCTCACTGCAACAAATTTCATACATTGTCATGTAACCAACCACCACAATGTCGAGGTTATCCACAATCAAACACATTTCACAAAGGTCTACAGCCTGTTGAATCTCTGAAACTCCAGCAGCCTAGGTACCACCTCAGGAGCTGAGGCAGTTTATCTCTCTCTCTGGAGGGCAGTATCCCATCTTTGTGCAATGGAAGCCAGCCATCACATTCCCCAAGAGTTTCCCAAGAGAAAAGGAGTGGAAGAAAGGAAAACAGGTTGCCGAACCAACTTGGACACACTCGGCATAGACTAACCTTCCAAATTAAAGGGCGGGAGATCAACTGAGCCATCGAGTTCTAATGTGAATTACTCTAGGGCAAGCTTCCTGTAATACCGTGGTCACCACAAAAGGCCTTTAGGGCATCTGTGGTATGATCTCCATCTTTCTTTTTCTGTCCTCCTGCATTTCTTATTGCTTTTTTGGGGGTCATCTCCTTTCTCCATTTTGTGTATCCTTCGCCCAGCAGTAGCACTATGGCATTAACCATTGCCGACCCGTGAATTAAAGCAGCATTTGGTAGCCAGATCTCTCCTTGAACCAGTGAAAACATGTTTGTTTGCTTCCCTCAAAGTGTAAAATTTCTGCGTTGCCAAGTCATCTCAAAGTGCACGTAGCTAAAGGGAACGTACATGTAACAAGTGCAGAGGGGGTCAGGTGGAGGACCTGGCCACATCGCACCTGATTATACATTGCAGAGGGTGAAAAAACAGACAAGAGAAAACTAGGAGGTAAAATGAAGCCCTGAGCTAACTCGGTTGCGCAAGCGCGTCTTTCAGAGCATCTCCGGCGGCCGCACCACAGCGCCTGCGTACAGAATCCGGAGAGGGGCGGGCCAGAGGAGAGGAGCACAGCCTGCCTGCAAGCCCCGCCTCCTCCAGCTGCTCGCCTTCCCAAACAACCCGGTGCCCCGCCGGCGCTGTATGTCCATTGGCCATTGGCCTTTTCCGTTTCCGCCCAGCCCTCCACAGTCCACCAATCGGCTTGTGTGCTGGGTAAGAGGGCCGTCTCTAAGGCTGTCGCTCCGGCTCCTCTGCCTCCTGCTGCTGCTGCTGCCTTCGCCGCTGGCTCCTTCTT